TTGCACAATTTGCAGCTGCCTGTTGCACTACTGATAGCTGCCTATTGCACCATTGGCAGCTGCCTATTGCACCATTGGCAGCTGCCTACTGCACCATTGGCAGCTGCCTATTGCACCACACTTGGTTACTTATTAAAAAAGTCATTGAAACCCCTACACATGCAGATTAGGCTCCTTTGTGTTGTTAGCCTGAAATACAGAGATTCAAAGAATGCCAGCCTCATATGAAGGGCATGTCAATGGCTGAGGTACAATGAACACTTGTTCCTCTTCTGGCAAATTCAAAATATAGACATTTTATTTGTACAAACAAGTGAATCAAAGCATTTTGAATAAACAAATTAATTCATTTGCAATGTGTCTGCTATACAAATTGATTCCATACTGACAGGATTTAACACTAACTCATATAAGGGATAAAACACTTACCTCACAAGCTTGTGAAAAGGTCTTGCCACAATGGTTGCAAGAAACCCCTGACAAATAAAATCACAATTTTTACATAGAGGAAATGTATAATTATCTCTTGCAGAACAAAAGTTTGGTTTCAAGTAAATGTAGCATTCTCAGTGTAAGATACATACCATGACTTCTCATGTGCACTGCTAATTTTGAAAATTTGTCAAAGGCTGCAGAGCACCCTGGTGTACTGCAAATGTATCCTGGATTAAGAAAGAACAGAATGATTTAAAAAAAAAGTTTATCACTAGGTGTTAAAACAGCGGATAGCATTAAGACACACTCAGATTAACTACTCATATATCAAATATCCTTTGCTATCCATCTCAGAGCAACTTGCACAGGATTTGCACCACAAAATATTGTGATCTTTGTAGGAATAAATGAGTTTCAATCATCTTTCTGTGCTACTGTACATTATCTCACTGTTTTAGTACATACCAAAAAAGATATTCACCCAAGTGGCACCACTAGCCACCTCCACTCTGGTGAATAGTTGTTAATTATTATTATTATGTTTCTTTAGCATATTAAGAATTAGTTTGATTTCTTTAACAGTTGTCACATTACATTGCATTCCAACTCCTGTAGCCTCACACAAATCTCATCAGAGCAAAACTGACTAAAATCTTCCATTTAAAACTCAGTAACAGAACCTTTCAACTGTCTGCAATAAAGTGCAAAGCACAGATTTCCCATGCAAAACGATTGACAGCAGCATGATATAATTTTTTTCTTCCCAGTTCATTTTATTTAAAAGTGTTGTGATATACCCTGTAGGGTGCTGTCATCCAGATTGACAATGATACAAGTGGTATCATCTGAATTAAGGTTTATTGTGCTTCAAAACAATCACCACTTGTGCCTAAAACATTTTAAAACCAAACATCATGCGCAGTGGCTGATGATGCCTATCTTGTTAAAATTTAATGAAGAAAACAGAAATAAATCTACAAAAGAATTTCTTTTATCCTTAATATTTCTTACTCATAGTTTAAAATCTATAATGGAACACTCATGTATTACCTTTGTTGTGCTTCTTCATGTGATTCTGAAGCTTCGATAGACTATCAAACCCAGTGCCACAGCCTTCCACCTGACACCTGCGATGATAAAAAAACATACAAACGTATATGACTACCTTATGTACTTGAAAAAGAGCCATCCCTGAATATGCACCTCCCTCATTGGAACTATGTGCAAATTCTTTGGAATGTAAATGTAAGGATTTAGATGTACATGTCGGAGAGCGTTAACCCATGCTAGGCCCCATAGACTCAGATCAAAAAAGGGGCCATTATTTAGATCGAAGTTGAGTGAAGACATTATTAGTGATGCAATTGGAAGTGCTGGGAGAGAAGAAAGTGATGATCAAAGGACACCTCTGTTAGTTATAAAATTGTTTCATACAGAAAGATAATATGCCGTTAAAAAAAAGAGAACATTTCTTTGATACAGTGTACATCTCATTTTTGAATGAGTATCACTTGCAGAATAAGGGTGGAATGTAAGGCTAGAAAAAATAAATAAGCCCTGCCACACTTATTTAAGTAATTACCGTAATAAATACAATTATAATGTTTAACCTGTTTCGACTCAAATAACATAGGTGAAGTTATCCTTGTGTAGTGTACTGAAAGAGGACTCAACTAAATCCAGTCCAACTTACTTATACAGCTTTTCATTTGTGTGAATGCAAATATGTCTCCTAAGCTGAGTGCTTTTCTTGAAAGCCTCATCACATCCCTCGTAATGGCACTGTGAAAGTGTTAACAAAATAGACGAAAAAAACCCGTGAGGACCTTAGAATCACATCATTTTTAACCTAGATAAAACTAGCTACATGTAGCAAGTCTTTGACATCCTTTTTTTCTCAACATCTACACCTTGAGCAAAATGCAAACTAGTGATGGTGCACAGTTGAAACAGGAAACATTCACAAAGTCAGACTTAAAACTGATGCATGGCATAATGAATTTTTCTATTGATGAAGTCACAATCCCAAGAAAAAGTATGAGAATATTCCATTACAGTGGCACTTCAAAGTTCATCCAAGTTTGATGACACAAACTGACGAATACCTGGTAATATTGATAAGCACCCACTGAATTCTAAAAAAAATGTCACATGTTTAAGACCAATATGTCTTTTCCTCTCACATAATCAATACAATAAAAAAACATAGATTGGACTTCTTTTATTACAAATGAAAATATACAGTTTAATTTGAGCAAAAGATAAAATTTGATCACAAAATATACATGTACATAATTATACAATTACAAAGTTATTTGATAAGATCTTTACCTTAAATGGTTTGTTATGTGATCTCTTTTCGTGCCTCTTTAAATTATGCTTGAGAGAGAAGGTTTGTGTACAGCCTGGGTAGGAACATCTATAGAGGAGAACACATTATTTGTAATTGTATTAGCTAAAACAGAAGTTCATTATTTGTTGTACTGATGGCATACACTGACATGTCCATAGCTGGGAGAGGGATGGTTTAAACCATGATCACTAATTGAATGCATTTGTAACACACTTGGATCTTTGGAGCCAGGATCTGACTTCAAGAAAGGTAGGAGCACACGAGCAGATGAAGTTTTAAAATACCTTTCTTTTGTATTTAACATCAAATCTTATGGTCTAAGATTCAAAGCAGTTTCTTTCATTTCTTCTATGTCTTTAAGATAGTGATCAGAGTCAAAGATGAAAAATATCAGAATGAAACTGGTTTGAACATTTTTCAAAAAAATTAAAAATAAAAAAAGGAATGGGCAAAGAATATATACATGTAGATGTTTGACTGCGCACATCAGGTCTAGAAAAAAAATCCATAACTTTGGGTCCACATCTGCAATTGATAGAGTCCCCCACTGCACAGTTCTTAACCCTTTAAACCTCAAGAGTGACTAACATCTAATTTCTCCCTTCATTATCACCTGTGAATCACACATTAAGGTCATGAGAACAAAGGAAATGATCACCATGGAAATATTAGCTTTTGATTGATGAACAAATTCTCCTTGTCAGCACCTTATGAAAAGTATAGAGAACAGTTTGGAGAATATGCTTACTGATGTTAGGGTGTACAAAGTTAACCCTTAATTCTCCCCTCTAATTGCTGCACATTTCCTAAGAAATTAGTTAAAATAATTTGGTTTTAGATCAAGAAAACAACTACCAGATAAGTTTGAGTATTCTTATTACCTTGTAGCAGGATTACATTGGGATGTTATGGGGAGAAGTTACATGTTAATCACTTCTGGGAGTTAAAGGGTTAATTCCCTCGCATGTGGAAATTTTCTTCCTAAGGGCCATAAAAAGCCATGTATGTGAATAAACAATTGTATACTTAAAAATTTCCTGTCCTGTGTGGATCAGTGAGTGACGCTTCAGATGGTATGGTCTGATAAAGGATTTGCCACATCCTTCAAACTCGCACTTAAAAGGTCTCTGCGGGTAAAATTACAATTATAACCAATACTCATATTTCTAGACAAACACTGCAGGCAGAAAGCATGTTTGGATACCATTATCTCGTGTTTATTACACTTTACCATTTATTACACATGGATTAATGAGCAAGTGGTCATTTAGGCTAAAAATAGGCTAAATTTAAAAAAAAAAATGCCTAAAAAAGAAAGCCCAGTATCCATCAAGCTTCATAAAAATCTGGCAGTCCTTAGGTTTAGCCTTTCAACTGAATTGATTGCGTGAACACGTACTCCATAAAATGAGATTCTTCTCAGAAAGTGGCCAATTGGAGTAATGAGAATTTGCCTTTGATTGCTTTCCAATAAAATTCACTCTGAATTTATGGAGAAGAAAGCACTGTACTGGATCTTCCACAGTTTAGTGAGTTGGAGCTTTGGTGTGAACAAGCATGTAAGATCGTGTAAAACATGTAAGCTTGCGGCTATTGCATGACGTCGTCTGTAATGCACGATTCCGGCATAATCGAATTACACACTAAAGCTTAAATCATTTTAAATGAAATTGAAAGGAAAAAAGCGAGTCATATTTTAAGGGAGATTTTTTTGGCCCGGTTCTTAACATATAATAATTCCTCGAACTCACGTTCAATGCCTTAGTGACGAACCAAAACGTACCGGACGAACAGAGTAACAGCACGTGTCAGAAGAACTACCCTTTCAATTCAGAGTTTAAAGCGCATAAAATCTACAGATTTTGTTCGAAGGACACAGGACACAAACCTACCTCTCCTGTATGGGACCTCTTATGCTCCTCAAGCCTCCATTTCTTATTGTAACTTTTCCCACATTCTAAACAGGTATGACCCTCGCCAAAGTCCGCCATGTTTTGGAGGTTTGTTTGTTGAAGAGAGACTAAGTTCTAGTTCTAAGTACAAACCAGCGTCGTTTCCAGGGTCCTCTCTCCTCTTACATCTTGCGAAAAACTTCCCCAGGGTTCC